TTGGAGAAAACGATCGGGTTGCGCGCGCGGGGGGACAGTGACGGCGAAATGGACACAGTATTATCAGTGAGGAAAGTGAAAAGTGATAGATCGTGATGACCGATGATACGAGAACGAGGAGGAATCCCGGTTATCGTTGGACCGCGTGAATTCGTTCGTGGAGGAGCCGCCGATTAGCCGGAGAGACGGGAAACGAGTGACGGAATCCGTGGCGATCGCGGTGCCCCCCCGACGATGTAAATCGCACGCGCATCGCAACCGTTTTGTTTTTTTTCGTTTGTTTGTTTACTTTTGTTCGAACGTATCGCCGCGTATTGTGAAGTTGTTGCCGCGCCAAGGCTGAGCAACGGCAAGATATCCTCGGTTATCGGACAACGGCGTCGGTGGACGCGCACTGATGCTGAAGGGAGACGAAGAAGAAGAAGCCGGTTCGTAGCCGCGTTTGGAGAACTCATAAGAGCCATACCGTTGTTATCGTCGTCGTCGGCAGATCGTCGAGGCGAGGGCGACGATGCCGCACACGGTGATACACTCGACGTCGCACCAGGTGGACCGATCGAAGTTGATCTGGACTTTCGTACAGGGCGTACGTGCGATCATATGATAAATGTAGAACACGCTGTATCCCGCTTTTTTTCTTTTTTCCTTTCTTTTCTTTTCGTTCGGCTTCCCCACCCTGTAAAATCCTCCTATCCTACAAAAGTTTGCACGCTGGCTCACGTGACTACAGTTTCGCGCGTCTTTCGAGTCATCGTCCATGTGGTGTTCGCGAGAAAGTCCGTGTCGGCGCTCGTCGACGGCTGAAAGGAGGGAGACGCGTGACGTTGTCGCGACTTGACGCGCGTGTACCGCACGCATCGTGTACATACGCCTAGTCGACGGTATCGTTCTTTACGCCCGTTTCTTTCTAATCGAGAAAGTGAAATAGAAACGGACACCGTGATACCAGGAGGACAGACTGTTACTGGGACTTCGCGCGCGCGCGAGCGCGTGTACGCGCGCGTGTGTGTATAGCAACAGCTTCGTTTCAGTGTTGTTACGTGTGGGACGGGTACGACTTTGTCTCTCGTGTTACGGACAGAGAAAGGGAGAGAGAGAAAGAGAGTGGTCTATTATCGTGGAAGAAGAAAAAGGGACGAGGAGAAGCACGCGGTTTTCTTTCCACGTATATACGACTGGCGTTCTAAAAGACAAACGAGACAGTGGGGCAAAAGACCGAGAGACAATATGAGTGAAATGACGAGTGTCGAACAGCAGCAACAACAGCAACAGTACGTAGGCGGCAGTTCGAATTCGGAGCACCACTGTAAGGACTGCGGCCTCTACTTCGAAAGCGATAAAAGTCTCGAAGTGCACCTGCGATACCACCAGGAGAACCTGCTAAGTCAGTGGGCGAGCCAGGCCCAGCAGGAGGAAAGTAACAACAACAACAGTAAGGCCGGCAATCACAACAGTCACGTGGGCGTTAAACGCGAGAGCGTGACCGCGCCGGCGGACTCGAGCGAGCCTTCCTCGAGGCCGCCCTCTCAAGATCCTACGTCTTCTCAACAACAACAACAACCACAGCAGCAGCAACAACAGCAGCAGCAGCAACCGCCGCAACAACAACAACAACAACAACAGCAGCCTGCCGGTCAGAGTTACAATCACTTTCAAACGCCGATGTTCGGCGAGACGAATTATTTTATGCAGAACGAGCCGGCCTACATCTTACCCCATCATTACTCACCGCCGCGAGACGACACGCAGAATAATGGCGGGAGTGGTGGTGGCGGTGGAGGTTATACGCGCTACCATCCGTACCAGCATCAACAACATTTTCCACCAGAACGAACGAGTTCTGTCAGTTCCACCAGTCCGAGAAGCCCTCCGATTCAATGTGACAAGTGCGGTGCAGTGTACGAGGACGCGAATCAGCTGGGTGAACACGTACGAACGAATCATTCGAATTCACCCGCTGGATACCCTGGACAGCATCAATATCCGCAGATGGGTAACAGTCCTCAGCAACCGAATCATCAGCAGCAACAATTGCACGCGTCGCCGCCGCAGTCTAGCCAGCAGCAGCAGCAGCAACAGCAACAACAACAGTCTGGCTACGACTACAGCGGTGGGCAAGCGGTGAAAACGGAGGTGAAACAGGAGCCGGAGGAACAGGCGGAAATTCTCGATCTGGATTCGCACAAGGTGCAGACTCACAGGTACGAGGAGGAGCTGATGAGGCTTCATCAACAGCAACAGCAGGAGTTGCAGATGCAGATGCATCAGCAGCAAGTGATGCAACAGCAGCATCAACAGCAACAGAGGGCTGGATCGCATTCGGTGAGTTCTATGTTGGGTTGGCCACCGGCCGCTCAGCCTCACGATTATCATCCCGGGTTATCGCCAATGGGCCCCATGGACAGTGTTTCGCCGCTTCCGGATCAGGGTCAGTTCATGCGCGGACAGCATATGCCCGTGGAACCGCCGCGACATCCAGGTTCTCCTATCATTACGAGCACGCAACCGATGCCCGGTCACCAGATGCCCGGCGGTCTTTTGCAACAGCCGCCGAAACCACCGCCTCTGGCTAATCAATCGTGGAAAAGTAACGAGGCACGACGGCCAAAGACCTACAACTGCACCGCGTGCAACAAGGTGAAACAGAGCAATCAGCCGGATCCAGCGAACTTGCCGATCAGCGCTCATCATCATCCTGGTAGAGATAGCCATTCTGTAGGTGGTAGAGGCGGGGGACCATCCAGATCGCCAGAGTTATCGTCTTCCGGGAGTCCCCCAAACTTGATGGCAGGTCCCTCGGGCGAGGCGGCGAGGGGCCTGCTGCACACGCCCACCAGTCTCTACAACAGCACCAGCAACAACAATTCCAACAACAGCAGCAGCAGCAGCAGCAGCAGCGAATCTTCAGCGGCAGTGGCACTAACGCAGCAACAGCCACCTTCGGGGGTCCACTTGGGATCCACAATGGTGCCGCCGCTCAATTCCCCGGCGCAATCCCCGCTGGCGGGCCACCATCAGCAACAAATGGGTTCCCCATCCCCTCAGCTGGGCCACCAGCAGCAGCAACAACAGCAGCAGCAACTTCATCACCTGCCAATGGGTTCACCGTCGGGCCAACTTCCGGTCCACCATCCCATGAGTTCGCCCATGTCACCCATGCACCCACCGCCGGCGCCCCACCTGAATTCTCCTTCGCCAATGGGCTCGTCCCACCCGCACCACATGAGTTCGCCGTCTCCCATAACGCCGGGCTCGGTCCACCCAGCAATGGCTTCGCCCACGGCGATGGGGGGTACTACGATGCCTCATCAGCCGTACCCAAACGCCTTGCCCCCCCACGTTACAACTACTACCAACATCCCGGGCCTGCTGGAGTCTTTCACCATCCAGCTAACTACTACTGGTAATGAGTTGCCTTTAACACTCGCCATGCAATCTCAACACCAGCAGTCGCAACATCATCATCATCATCAACAGCAGCAGCAGCAGCAGCAGCAGCAACAACAACAACAGCAACAACAGCAGCAGCAGCAACAGCAGTCTCAGGATGTTTTACCCGGTTTCGGGACCTTTAGTAATCATCAAAGGTCCCTACCAAGTTTCACACAGTTCAATGTGACCGGGTTTTTAATTGGCCAGAATCAACCGCAGGCCGTTAACGTGGGGGGGCTAAGTCCGGGGGAGAACGCATCTCCTCAAGATAGATCGTTCGAGTCGCCTGGATCAAACTACGACCCGTATCGAAATTCACCGCCTCGGTACGAGTCACTTACAAACATGGACGTGGATATGCAGCCGAACACCGACGGCATGATCATCAAGCAGTACGAGATCCAGACGCATCATCATCTGTCGCATCCGCTTCAACAGACTCGTGATAATCTCGAGGCGAACAACAATTTGCCGCAGCTCATTCAGGCGAAGGAGGAGCTGAATCCGAATGTCGGTAGACAATTCGAGAAGGATCAAAAATCGAAAGGGAACTCTGTGATCACGAAGGAACATCAGGTGACCAGCACCAACACCGGTTCGCACTATATTTCCCAGGACGGCTTTCACAAGTGCATCGAATGCGACAAGGTCTTCAACAAGGCCTGCTACCTGACGCAACACAACAAGAGCTTCCACTCTGGCGACAAGCCGTTCAAATGCAATCAGTGCGGCAAGAGGTTCCCCCTCGAGTACCTGCACGCGGAGCATCTGCAGAAGCACGCCGGTGACAAGCCGTACAAGTGCGAGATATGTCCGAAGCAGTTCAACCACAAAACTGACCTCAGGCGGCACTTGTGCCTCCACACTGGCGAAAAGCCGTACGCCTGTGATAATTGCGGCAAGGGATTCATCAGGAAGGACCACATGATGAAGCACCTCGAGACGCACAAAAAGAAATCCAACAGCCACAACGTCCATCTTAGGGCGTGATTCGAAAGGAGTTCGAGAATCGAGGACTAGCATCGTAGAGGAAAGAAAAGGGCGAAGGGAGAGAGATGGAGAGGGAACAACCCATGGCTGTTTTATCCGATGATCTTCTTCTTCGCCCCACGGTCTTCTCGTGATTATCAATCGAAAGGTGAGATCGTCGGTCGTCGAGAAAATCACGACGACCGGCTGCTTCGTAAAACTATCGCGAGATCGATCCACGTTGCGACTTCTCAATCGAACTCTTCGTGCTTAAACTCGATCAGAGAGACACTGGGACTCAAAGTGCACACCCGTTCGATCGTGATCAAATTTGTAATTTATTATTAATAGTTTCTTGGTTAAGGAAGTTCGTGTAATTCCCCCCCACTCCACCCCATAACTCCGGTCAATTCAATAATCCAATTTTATTCCCGGTTCGAAGAAAAAAAAAAGAACACGAAATTCTTGCATCCTCCTCCTGTTTCGACAAGAGAACGACATCCTTTCGTGCCGTTGTTCTTTCGAGTTTTTTCGAAAAAAGAAAACAAATATAGTCGAAGCACGTTCGTTTCTCATTTCAAAGTGTTGATCTATCGATCGAAAATCATTTGTTGTTCGGGTAGTTTCGTGCAGCGAATCGTAGCAACGGTGCTCGGAAGGATATTGGTTTTTTGCTCAACGGTGTAATATTTATTTGACCTCGAATCAGGATCGAGATTTTGCACGTTTCCGCCGAGAAAATTCGACAGCTAGGGAGAGAGGGAGAATCGGTGTGCCTGGCGGGCTTCTACTCTACGACGTTTCGATCGTGAATTTTTCGCAATTTCGGGCGCATCTCGGAGATCAATTGACTGTTTGACGATACACGGAGGAGGCAGTTTTTCAAACATCACGAGTCGCGGTACACAGAGTCGATCGTGAAAAATCAACGAGCGAGCGTTCTTCTTTTTTTTTTCTTTTTTTTTTTGCTGTGTTCACTCGTCGATTGCTCGACTCGATGGATCACGATTTCCATTCTGACAAAATGGTGGTCCGCCAGCGCGCACTCATTCGCTCTCTCTCTCTCTCTCTATCTCTCGAGTTCGCGATTCTCTCGGTAAAGTTTGAAAAAAAAATCGCGCACTTCTCGAACGATAATAGTTCCGAAAGAAACACAAAAAAATTGCCAGAAAACAGAGAAACGCGCAATGGAAATTTTCTGATGCGACGTCGAACCTTCGAAGCTTATCGATTGTACAAAATATGTTAAATGTATAGGCGTATAATTATTCTAATTATTATCATCACTGTAATTATTGAATTCAATTGAATATCGTCTAGAAAGTGATTACGAAACCTATTCATAATACTCGTATTTTATAGCGTATATACATAGCATACTTTATCGAAGGGAGAACGAGAGGAAAAAGAAAATGGTTGATAGGTAATCGCGAACAGACGCGGCGACGGTAAACGTGGCAAATTTGAATCACCGTGAAAAATCGTTACGCGAGCGACGGTACGTTCATTTTAGTCCCTCATTGTTGATTAACTCGTTCTATTCGTCGTTAATTATTATTAATATTATTTTCTTTTTAATTTTCTTTCTCTTTGTTACGTGCATCGAAACGTTGTTTGTCCGGTAGAGACGGTCGAGAGGTGAAATTAAAATTACTTCGTTTATTTACGTTCTGTAGTTAGAAAATCATAAGTATCGTTTTGATTACAACGACGAGCCTCTCCATACGTTCTTTTACTCACATTCCTCGCGTTTTCGCGTACATTCCAATTTTCTCACCGCGCGTCGAACCACCGTCGCTCCAGTGATACCACAATTTTCACGATGGCGTCGCGTCTTTTCCCTTTTTCTAAACGTTAAGATTAATAATAGCCTAAGTTCCGAATTGTACGTTGCCCGGAATGAATCTTGCTCGTGTCGTCCCCCCCCCAAGAAAAGGAAAACAAGAGTGCACAGAAATCTTGCCCTTGTTTTTAAAAACGGTTGTAAGAGAGAAAGAAAGAAGAAGAAATAACGTCAGGTCTTTGTTACCGGTAGCATGGTAAACCATTTGTGTGTGTCCCTCGATGATTTACTTGCAAATTTTTGCCGGACATTCTTGGAGAACATCCCGCGAGTTTAAAGGAAAAAAAAAAAAAAATTAAACGAGAAAGACGACAATTCCGATCGTCTTTGAGGCGGGGATCACCGAAGAACCGTTTTTCACTCACGAATTTTCTGCTTGCACGAATCACGAATGGATTCGTTTGTTCGATCGATTATCAAATCGTTCCGGAATTTCATGGAGCGCGCGGTGCCTCTAATTGCGCGGCACCCGTCGCGCATACGATCAATTAATGCTCGATTAATTGCCCGCGGAGCGCAAAACGAGCCAATCACCGAGGATAGGATCGAGACTCTCCTCTCTCGCGACACGAGCGAATTTCCCTTCGAGCTACGCACAGCTCGTTACATTTACACGCACACACATATAAATACACACGTACACTAACGTACGCGCGCGCGCGCGCACACACACACTAAATAAACGTTGACTTCGCCGTAATGAAATATACGCCGCGTTTACGCGTAATTATTTCCGTTGATCATCGTTTAATCGATCGTCGGGATCGGCCTTAGGTGTTTAATAGTTGCTCGAATGGCGACACGTTACGTTGATCATTAGTTTCGGAATCGCGCTTTGTTCCCGTTTACGATTGTTGTTATGGGCGAGAACGAATGTGTCTTTTCACCGCAAAGTAGCGTGGATCGAATGTTGTTCGCTGGTGGTAATTCTTTTTTTTTTTTTTTTTTTTCTCACGAATGGGGAACAGCGATCGTTAATATTTTTTCCTTTTTTTTTTTCTTTTTTGTTTCTTGTTTGTTCCTTTTAAGATGTTTCTTCTCGTTACAACCGGATCGTTTCATTAAGAACGAGGTCTTGATAGTTTATTATTATATATTGCTGAAAATGGTCGGAGGATCGATTTACGAAGGGAAATCGATATTTTCATACGATATGCGAATTAAGTGTTCCGAAGATTCCGTAGTATTAAGTATGCAGTATTATTCCCTCGATGTTATTTAGTTCGTTCTTCAGAATTTGATATGTCACTCATGTTCTGGTTGTTGGCGATCTGTCCAACCATTTTCAGCAATATCGTGCCGATACACAATTTGTACATATTGAACCCCCCCCCTAAAAACTCGTCACCGTCATATTAACGCGCACACACACACACACACACAAACAGGTATACGCACACGTGCAGTACACAAGTTTAACGTCCTTTCGCGAGTTTAATTTCTCGGTTGTTTCGTATATAAATGAGAGAGAGAAGAAAAAAAAAAATTGACGAAGAAGAAATAATAAACGTGAAAGCGAGAGAAAAAAAAAGACGATAAATTATATAGCACTCTTGCCATTTTTACTTACGTAATATGACACCCAGAACAGACTACCTCAGAGTTCAGGAATTTAACGATGAATGAAAGGAAGAAAGAAAAGATGAAAGAGCCAATGCAATAATAATAATGTTATTAAAGAAAGAAGAGAAGAAAAAAAAAGTAGCTGAAACGCGCATCCGTGCGGGCGGAACGACGTAACTTCTTCGCTCTATGCAGAAAAATTCCGAGAGAAAAAAAGAAGAAATTCCCTCTTTAGACTCGTCTTCTCGAGTGAATGAAATAAAGTCACTTTTGGAAAAAGAAAAATACTCCGTCGATTAGTGACGACGTATGAAACGCGCGATCTCCATAGTTTTTCCACTCGTTTCCTCGAATTGGCCAGTATAAAGTAAGATAAGACGACATACGGTTGAGAATACGCGAAAGACGCTCCTCTTTCTTCTTTGCTTTTGCCGCAAAGTTCCTCGAGTCGCCCGCCGGTCGTAAGTGCGTGCTGATAGAACATTATACATATAGATTCTAATATAAAACGAGAGAGGGAGGGAGAAGGAAGGAAAAAATGGGATGAGAATAATAAGAGCGGGGAAGAAGATTTAGGGACGATAAAAAAAATAATGCGAACGGGAGAGGGTTGTAAAGATCGATGTACGTTTTAGAGACATATCAAACAGTATTACTGTACACTCAGTTTTATTATAAATAATCGTATAAAGTTAAAAAGGGGGAGAAAAAAAAGGAAAAGGAGGGAGAGAGAGAGAGAGAGAGAGAGAGAGAGAGGTGGAAGCATAGTGAGAGAAGACGAAGAGAGAGAGAGATCAGATCGTGCACGATCGAAACAATTACTATACATATTTCCGATGTCATATCATTGTCAGATATTCGTATTAGCGAGATTGCGTTGTTCAACGAGGAGATGAGAGAGAGAGCGTATTAACGAAGCAAAAGCAAAAAAAAAAGAGAGAAGAAGAATAAATGATAGACGTGTTTTGCAAGTCGTGATAGAGGGGGCTAAAGAAATTTAAAAATGGCGGAAAGGGAGAGATAGAGGAAAGAATGGAACAAAAGCAGTTTGCACATTTTTCGTTGTTTTTATTTTCGGTAATAGAGAGAGAGAGAGAGAGAGAGAGTGACGAAGGGAAGAAAGAATGACTTTAGTGTAAAAAGAAAATCGCGTTACGAAATCTAACACAGTGGGCATTTATCTAAGAAATAAACGATATATAATATGGTGATTTCGCGAGTGACGACGAAGCGGCGGATATTTTTCTGTAGATTTGTTTTTAGACGACAACATGCGTTCCGCTTGTTTCCTGTATTA